GATGACCTCGCGACAATGGCGGTCGGTCGCGACGGAGGCGTCTTTTTCGCTCTGTGTCCGGCCGTCGTGGCGACGTCAAATGCATACAGACGCGACCGATGAGGATGTTTTTGCGCGCGCGGCCCGGCGCGGCGCGCGTTTTTCCGCCCTCAGCTGAGCCCCGTCGGCTCCCGTTTCCCATCGGGGGGGGGGGGGGGGGCGGGCGCGCGCAAAACATGATTTGCGCGCGTTGCGCGGCGTTTTTGCGCGGCGGGTCGTTGAACCCGCGTCTTGCTGATGAGATGGCGCCAAGGCGGCATTCGCGGCGGGAAGTGGTACCGACACACAGCCACGATTGATGGCGAAATGCTATGCGTTTTTCTGGCGCGTTTTTCAGGCGCGTTTTTCGGGGCGTTTTTCTGCATTGTTCGGGATGTTTTCTGGGGTTGTTGTCGTCTTTTTGTAATGGTCTGGTCACGGGTAATAAAACTGTGCTTCTGTGAACGAGAGGCGTTTGGAAATAATGCACGCAAAAAGGTAGTTAGGGACAGAGTCACAGACCGCTGAACACAAGTCGACTTGAATGGGTAAATGTATGAGTGGACGCAATTGCATTGTTTACTAGCGGGATTGAGAGAAAGAAAGGGAAAAGGACAGTAACCAGGACAGAAAAAGAGGGATACAAAATAGAAAGAAAGAGAGAAATAGAGAAATAGAGGGAGAGAGAGGTGAAAGAGAGAGAGAGAGAGAGAGAGAGAGAGAGAGAGAGAGAGAGAGAGAGAGAGAGAGAGAGAAAGAGAGAGAGAGAGAGATAGAGATAGAGAGAGAGAGAGAGAGAGAGAGAGAGAGAGAGAGAGAGAGAGAGAGAGAGAGAGAGAGAGAGAGAGAGAGAGAGAGAGAGAGAGAGAGAGAGAGAGAGAGAGAGAGCAGCGATAGCTTTTTGACAGGGAAACTCGCAGTGAAGCTGCAGTCACAGCTGCACACGGTTTTACTTAAATGCGAAAAGTGAGTAGCATCATAGATAGTCAATTAAGTTAATAAATGTGTAATTGGTAACTCCAGGTCTTTGGCATGCCTTCTCTGTGTGCGGGTTTGATTTATGAACATCGTCTCAAGCATGCGACCCCACGGTCTCTTAATTCATTTGATCAATTGCAGCATATAGCAAGAAACTCGTACTAGGTTTGTGAAACAGCCATATTCAAATTACGGCTGATATAAGTTACTAAACAACAACCCATATGGTCAAAAACATTTTTGCTCTCTTACAACCTTCAGAAATCACCACGAAACGCGGCCGTCCTACATCCAGAATTTGACTGGTGCCGTCCCAGATAAGGCCTCACTCATCTCACCGTGAACCCCGCCCCGTCCCGATGATGACCTGCCGTGCATCTACCGCCCCACCTGACAGATTACATCCGGCGACGGCTCGGCCGTGTTTACCGTCTCCCGGTGACGTCACACGCGTTCCGCGTGCTGATTGGTCGGCACGCGTCGGACGTCACTGGGGGGATCGATGCGGCGGAGAGGTAAGGTCTCGGTCGGTCACTCGCACGCATTCAATACTCGCCCCCGGGCGTTCGGCTGACTGAGGCTCAGGTGTTCGCGGCGCATAATGGGTGCAGGTGCCGAGGTGCGAGAGGAATCAAATTAGATGACTACAGAAGCGCTAGATTGTAATGCAATTCTTTGCCCAAAGAACGGCATGGCAACATGGGCATGACAGAGGCAGCATGGCGAATATCAGAGGAAAGGCACGTCATTTCCAAAGAATGTAGGAATGGCGACAGAAATAAGCGTCCGACTTTGCTGTCCATAATTTAAGGAAGCTTGCGAAATAAACTTTTTCGAGCACTGTGGCCCTGTGGGTGACGGCTGCTCCCAAACAAATCGGAAACAACTAAAAGGCAAAACCTCAGCAGCGTGCGAATATGGAATACATAGAGCAGCGTTCAACATCTTACACGGCAAGTGGCATGTTCATATCATATCATATATTTAGGAATACATCCATAAAATGGGTTTTCAGCGTTCCACGTCATGTAGCACAAGTAAAAGCATTTTCCTATCAATCCACATTTGCATCACCCTTTAAAAGGCATCTGCGTTACACAGGCATTTAGAGCTATGTATCGGAAACATAGTTTAAGGTAACACCATTCCCCTAGGGAAACGTCCAGGCACTGCCCTCGTGTGGGCGTATCGCTCAGAACCCAAGGGAACGCCCACTTTCGCTTTGCGTGCGGTGGCGGGTGGTATGTGCTGTCGATCAGCGATTCGGCCGACAATGATTACTTTGTTTGTTTCCTGTGTGCTGCTGTGAGCCTAGTTAACGGTGGTCAACACGGCACATTGTCACGTGCCGTCCTCGTCAGCTGAGGCGACCTCAGCACACAACATTGCTGGATCAGCGTATCGTACCGCAAAGTGCAAAATCCGACTTCGGAGAAACACGACCGTAACAAATGTAAAATCATCTTGACATTGTTATGAGACAACATTTACCAGATCATCCTCTTTTTAGGCCACACAACAACTATTTCAGCTTTGTGAGCTGCTAGTTATCTTACCGACGATGTTGCAGCGTACGTAAATATTTAACTCAATTAAACGCTAGGCAGCATTATCAGCAAAACATTTCTGAACAAAGAATACGTTAGAGGCAAGCTGAAGCCGATCAACAATGTTTCCTTCATTATGAGATACCAGTTAACGACAATTGAGATAATGACGAGCCTCAAATGTCTTGATATGATCATAGGATCACGTTAGTTATTATCTATTACTTTTGAGTGCAGACGTTAGGCACATCGCTCATGACAACTATTCGTCAATGTTCTTGAATTACAAACTAACATGTTTTATGAAATGTCTAGTATGGTGAAAAAGCCGAGCTTGATGATGCGTAACGCTATTTCTGTACAAGTCCCACAACCAAAATCTTTGCCCTCGGGCTGTCACAGTTCATAAACAAATGTCATATATTCAAAACTCCAAGCATTCGAAATATAGTTACAGTCCATATAACTGAACAATTATTTCCATAACCACTGTTGCGGTCAATCTGTTCTGATAAGGAATCAAAATTACCTGTACCAAAATATAACGAATATCGATATTTGTAAGACCAAGCAGCTCTCAAATCGCCTGCGTAAGCTGCCACCATCGCCGCCTGGAATAGTATGCTATCCCGCCGATCACATCACCGCGCCGTCTCGTAAGGAATAGCAGCCGCCTGCACAGCGGCGGGTAGGCTGTGCCGCAACACACCCGCGCACGGCGGCGCAGTCTACCCGTGCGGCGGACCGCGAGGCTGGCAGCGATAAGCCGCGTTAGGGCGCGGGGAACGAGGGCCTATCTCTCCCCAGCCTGTCCTCGGATGCTGATAGGTTCATGGCCGCCATGATAAGCTCGATAAGGGCTGTTTGGCGGTCGGCGCATGTGACAATCACTGCTAGCAACAGCTCGCAACAGCTGGCGACGAGGACACGCTGTCAAGGCGTGCTTTAATTAGAAATCGCTCATTATGTAATGATGGTAAAGGATATTGGATATTGTATAACGTCAGGACCTCTGTTAATTAAAAAGGCATGTAGCATCAAAGGTTATTTAGGTATCACATTTAAAATATGCAACCAATGGAGCATGGGTGGAGCTTTTCCAGGGAAGTTGGTGGGGCAAAAAGTTGTCAAACCTACAATGTTCGATTATGAAGTTGAATAAAATGCCACACTGAATCAATTCTCATCATTACAGATTACAGATATAATATTTTGCATCAAACAGACATTGCAAAGCTCTTCAATGCGAAAAGATTAATTTGCAAAGCAACAAAGTCTTAGAAATCAGCTAAAGTTGGTGGGGAAAAAACGCTTATTGATGGGGCAAAATACCAAGTTGGTGGGGCAGCCGCCCCACTAACTGTATAGGAAGCTCCGCCCCTGTAAAGGAGGCGTGACAGCCAAATGTTTCGACGTGCAATTAATGCATTCAAAATAAACATACCTACTGCCAACATCAATCCGTTACTGATTCCGCTAACGCAAAATGGAAAGCAGGGAAAACAGGCGCCATGCCTTTTGATCTGTACAAAAGATGCACATTTTACGACTAAAATGTATGGAAATAATTTTACAGAAATGAATAGGGCAACAAAGCAGGAGAAAATGTGAGCAAATTAATATACTAAAGATGCTAATAAATTTCGGTAAGATTTAATATCTCAATAACATCAAGAGAGATCTTCCATACCGCAGGATGAAAAATATAGCAAAGTTTCAATTCAGTCAGGAGCCAACTGCTCAACCGCACGTCAATGCAAGTAGATGCATGACTTCAGAAAAACACCTCAGTTGCCTGAATAGTTAGTTTTCATCCGTTACAGTAGCAACACCGTGGCTGGGAATAGGTACTTAGAAGTTAGAATACGTTAAAAAAAAATTAAATTGTGCATTCGATGATGATTTGTCTCAAAACCATGCGTCTATTATTTCTATGCAGTTAATGTTTACACAACCTTCCAGGAATGCAATGCATCGAATATATTTGAATGTTTTGATAAATTGATGTTAATTCTTGATTAAAAATGCATGTTCACATTTCCATCGAAGATAGGTGTTGTGTTCTCTTGCTTTTATTGCTCTAATCAGTCAAATTTTTTCCTTAAATATAAGGGAACCATATGGTTGCAACGAAAGTAGCGTTAGTCAGCTTTAAGTGTGTTCACTCATCATTTGCATGGCTTAGTTGCTAAACAATTTGTGATGCATTTTGTTGGCTACACATCGTTGAGGAAGAATAATGGACCAAAGATAAACATAAGGTAGGGCAGTTAAATGAACATTTTAAGTTATAAAAACAGACATATGTTTTCAAATACGTTCGACATTGCGCACCCCAAGCCCACAAAAAAAAACTATCGCCCTACCCGATGTTCCCAAACATCCCATCTGACACCCTTCCCCGGTCCCCCAGGTGACAGAAGCCCTCCCGGCCGCCCCCGCCGCGCCGTCGCTCACCTGCTATCCGTGCGTGCCACCGCCGCCGATCCCGTCACCTTACTGACCCTGTGCCGCTGCCCACACCAGTGCCCCAGTGAGGCCACCGACGGCGACGGTGGCGCCCCGACCCTGCGGCGGCGGCGGCGCGAACTACTCCCGGCCGGCTCGGTCGGCCTATATGGATTCGGGCGCAGAAAAAAGCGGCTCGGCTGCGCCGTCGCGCTAGCGAGCCCTTTGTGTCCGGGCTCCCGACTCGGCGGTGGCATCGTCAGGGGAGCACCGCCCCCTCCCCCCCACCCCTCCCCCGCCGCTCAGCCGCCTACGCCCGGCCCCGCCCCCTGGGTAGAGCGACAGAGCCGGATATGCGACTCTTCCCAGGCCGGCCCATTCATTGTGGTATGCATCCTGTATCATTTCGCCGGTCATTGTGGGAAGGGAGGCTGGCGCCCGATAGATTGCAGCTAAATTTTGTTAATATTTAACTATCAAAAGTCACCAGGAAAGCAATCTATGAATAGCGTCTTAGCACACATATGGATAATTTTGACCCTACGTTTATGTACCATGAAATGTCAGTTGTGGTTACGGATACATTGCAGAATCAAATACATTGCAAGACACGTTCTCGCTGATGACTTTGAACCTCTGTGGCTATGAATTCTCTGCTGACCTTTTAAGTAAGCCCTGCTCTTGCAGCATGCTGTAATACATAAAGCTGCGACCAGCGCGGCGTTGGTATGCCAACGGTCATATTTAGATACTCGTCGTGCTCATTGAAACGTTCGCCACCAACTTGTGGTTAGGTGTATCAGGTATGTCACTGACATTCATATCGAATACTCACATCCCTAACACCAGGTTCCCCCGGGCATTGTTACCATGGCAACCACTCCGCCGTACGCTGTTTGGTCAAACAACGCGATTGAACGCGACAAAGCTGGCGCACGAGTCTAAACCGACGCAGCCGACTGTGTGCGGCACGTTTTGGCACGTTACGATTGTGTCGCTACAACAGCAAGGCTGAGTTCTATTGCCTTGAGTAAGGCCGATTGTATCCGTGATAATGTGCAGCGCGCAACGAACGCTTCGTTTATCGACAGAAAACGTCTAGAAACTGTGACAACAAAGCCGGTGAGAACTACGGTCACGGTGGGGCTGGTATAGATAATGCACTGTTGGTAAAAGTTCCTGGCTGGTGCATCGGAACACGTGATTCGACGCCCTGTAAGGTCCAAATACTTTGGAGGAAGCATAGAAGGAAGAAGGTTGTGGAATAAGTTTAATTATGAATGATGCATCCAGCTTGCATTCGGAAGGAGAATTGAATACAGAGACTCAGTTGTCAACAGACTCTGAACCAATAAAGAAACCACCGAAGAGAAAAATCGCTCGAAAACGACCCACACATGTACGACTTCAAAATCATAGCCTCAAAGCGATTCCAAAACTGGAAGCCAGTAAAGACGTACTTGTTGTTTACTTGTACAACAACAAAATCAACAACATAACCAATTTGGATGCCCTCACAAAGCTAACACATTTATATCTCTCCCATAACAACATCAGACGTCTGGAAAACTTGACCGGCCTCACCAACCTGGAAAAGCTCTACATCGGACACAACAAAATATCCGTATTGGAGGGCCTCGAGAACCTTCACCGTCTCCGCGAGCTCCACATGGAATCACAGCGCCTCCCCGCGGGCGATTCACTGACCTTTGACCCTCGCTCTGTGGAAGCAATCCGGGCCACCCTTCACGTCCTCAACATCGACAACAACGGCGTGACTAGTCTGTTACCACTAGTGCCGCTGCCCTACCTCACCGATCTGAACTGCACCGCCAACCAGCTGAGTAGCTTGGTCGACCTCACGGAGTCCCTGCGTCAGCTTCCGTGCCTGACCCGACTTGACCTGAAGGGGAATCCAGTCTGTGACCTACAGCGTCATCGCGATGCAGTAGTGGAGAGCGCTCCAGAGCTGAGAAAGCTTGATGAGCTGGATGTGACGCCCACGTTTCGGCAGTTTATCTTCGGGCGAGGCCAGGCGGTGGCTCGTAGGATGAGCACAACCAAACAGCGGCTGGCACTGGCTTCTGCCTCCGATGACGTCATCATTCGAGACAACCCAGCGTCAGCGAGGCTTCGGTCTCCTCAGGTGGCGCTCAGTCAAGGGAACCTGCTGCCGCCGAAGAGGACTCCCGTGGTCTCTCAGCCACACCAGACCTCCAGCACACATCTCCGAGTGGGAAACATGCTGACTCTGACACCGGAACAAAGAGCGATAGCGCGCACTCCCGATAGCCGCCCACAGTCCGACGCACACCTAGAGACATCTAGTGGCGACCCAGAGAACTTTGAGTTCCCTGTAGGAGACCTGAGCTACCCAGTTCCCTGGGCTGGAAGGAGAGACACTCTGCCAAGCAGTCCCGCGCGGAGACCCATCGGAGCTGACGCCAGGTCGGCCCGACCCAGTACATCTCAACAGCATGCGACTGTAGATACATCTATTGTCGTTCCCAGGAGACTGACACCCTGGTCAGCAGAGGAGAGGAGCATGTCCAGGGGAGAACAGAGGACGCCGCTGCGGCAGACCATGTCAGACGAGGTGCCGACAAGGATAAACATGCTGGCGATCATGCCGTAATATGTGTCATTGTTCAATAAGTCGGAAGAATAAAGTAGAATGGCTTTCAGGTGAACTGACCAAGAAAAACAAATAAATTGTAGTGGTGTAACGTCATGAAGCATTGTCTCAATAAAGAAAAGATATGCAATGTAGTCGTACAGATGCCTGAAATAAATTGGGAGCGTGCATTTTTGAATACCTCATCCATGTTTCTACCGAGAGCGCACAGTGCACAGACTGCACACCCACATCTACCTGCGATTAGATACATTCTCCTATCCCGATCCCGGATCCGTTATTACGCTAGTGGGTGAACACATGTGCGACGCACAAAGCTGATATACTCTTGGGTATCTGCATTTCCATCGGACACAGCTGTGAGAATGTCAATGACCTCAACCGCACAGCTGTTCTCCCCAAATGTCGAGCCATCCGATACATATGCAGGTAGGTATGTGAATTCATGAACTGTCGTTATTTTGTTCAAACCCGCCAAAAGACGGAAACTGAAGACCATTAGGTACCTAAACGTTGTCTTTCTACAATTATACATTGGTTGCTGATTGACGGAACTAATGTTTACAATCGGTAATGCATCATATTAAATCACAAGCATTCAGTTTTTTTTTTCAGTCAAGCACCAGCAGCTCTCTTCAACTGAGCGCCGCAGGCCGCAAAACACTACCGCAACACAAATTGGGGGATACGTGCTCTCCAGCAATCGCTACGCGAACAAAAAGGCAGCATTTACTACATGTGAAATGAGTACCGTTTACAGGAAACAGCTGTGAATCTACAAAACATTCACCGATTGTCACCACATTTCGCCGGTATTTCCACGGCATTTTTCCGTCATATGACTGAAGCCATACCGGGAGTGCCGTATACCACCATCGACATTCGGCATTGGCCTACAATGCGTGTCACCTTGGGGCTGGGGCTGCCCGCAGGTATGTTATTTACATCTCTGACCCACCGCGGGGTCCAAGGTCATGGTGGCGCCTCAGGGCTCAGACCCTGACCTACAGGGAAACAGCAGAGTCGCATTCTGTCGCCAGCATGGGAAGGCTGACGAGCGGGGCTGGACAGAGTGGATTTAAAATGGAGCAGACATTTACTAGATGAAATACAGATTTCTAGGTCCGTAAGTCTTGGCCTGGAACTTTAGTTTAATTTCCTAATTCAGGATACAATAATTCAGTTCGGTACAAAATAATTTTATATTCCAGAAATAAATGACGATATAGCCACCGGTTAAACCATTGGCGAAAAATTTGCCCGCCGTCGGTCTCAAGTCACGCAAAATGTCGCAAGACGCGTCTTCCGCTACGCAGTGCCGTGCGGTGCAGTGTACGCGCAAGGCGCATATACTAGCGACACCTATGAGCGCGAGTGGAAACTAAGACGACTGAGCCATGCGGCACAGCATATCCTTCAGGCGCTACGAGTAGTGACATCTAGCGGCCGGGATCACGACTACATCGGCGAAACGCCACCGGCTGATTACCGCCAGGTAATCAATTGGGTCTTCTTTACTGCTTCGCCGGGCAAAAGTCACTGTGTAATCCAACGATATCCAGCTTGCTATCTGCCATAACTGTGCACGGTGCACCAACAGACCACGAAAATTCCCCAGATACATAGATACGACGGGTTACGTTACGACTCTAAACTTGGTGGGTTCAGGCCGACTGAAGGCAAAACTAGAGTCATAAAGAATGACCCTTTTGTACCTCGTGCACGGGGAATCTCTAAATATGCTTTGTTGGGATATAATCGAACATCCTTTCTCGATGGGCACAAACCAATTACCTTTCACCTGTAAGCAGAAAGGCAAAACAGACGGCCAGTTCCCACTCATGGCTCAGATAAAGTATAGCTATTTTTCCGATGTCCAACGGGGCAATTGGAACCCAGCTTTCTTAGGCATCCGCATTTACTGTTCAGTTCATCTAATGTCTTCAACATATCTGACAACACAGCATACCTACTGCTCCAAACATGGGTAGGTCGAATACTGATACCCTAACCCGTCCCACATTTCTATTATCTCCCATATAGGCCCACGCCATCCAGTCATCCACTTTCGAATCTTTCAACAGAGCTAACGTAGTCTTTTCAGGCTTTCAGCATCTCATCCGCATATTCTCCTCACGGTGCAAACACCAAAAACACTTACGACAACGGTGTATTATTACATGCATACTGATATTGATACCGGCGCGGTTCGGATAAAAAGAGACCTCGTTCCTTTAAAAACGGACCGCCCTATCTGTCACCCTTGTCCGATCGGGGAGGGAATGCCATCACGCGCACCGACACCAAGGGCGGCGCGTGACTAGTGCCACCTAGCGAGCGCGCGGCCAACTATAACTTGCCGCGCCGGCCGCACTGAGTATTGCGGGGGCGACTCGAGCCCCGCCTAACGGGGCGCGCGTGCGGATAGAGGAGGCAGAGAGGGAGAGGCACCACAGGTTTGTACCAGACTCGCCACGCGCACTCGGCTCGCGCTCTCCCCTCTCTCTCTCTCTTGCTCTACAAAGATCAGCAACGCGACGGTACAACCACTACCCAACACCTAGACCTGCATAGAAGAACACATCTCTACGGCGACGCGCTCGGCGTACAATACTTAGTCTAAAACCTTAACCTAGCATTTTTAGTGGTTTTCTGTGGTCATTTTCACATTTGAGAGAGCGGCGTCGGGGGGTTGCGGCGCGGCGGTCAGACGTTTTCCAGCGGTGTTTTGAAGCGATCTCGAGCTACATGACCTGGCTCAAGCTGACCTGCGAGCTACATGACCTAGCTCGGGCTGACCTCCGCGACCGCGCGCCCCCGACGCACCCCTGATCACCGTCACAGAGTGTCACATATCGTCACATGGCGTCACATATCGTAACACGACCGGCGTACAGTACGCCACCTGCAGAGACTAAGCCATATCACAAAGGTCATTCTCTCACTCTCGACAGTGCCGCAGACGCACATACAAACGGCTAGGTTTGGGTCAAGGGCGGCAGCCGCTGGCGCGCTTTTGGCTTACAGTCCGCGGCAGTTGCCATGGCAACTGGCGGGACGGCGCGCGACCCCACCTGAGTGCGCAATGGCCGCGGGTGCACCATCGAAAACCGTGCACCGGTATCCGCGGGGAGCGCACCCTCACACACAAACGCACGTTTTTCACATCACTGGATACAATTGAGACTACCCTGCGAGCCGCTCCCGCCAGGAGAACAGAATTTGGGCGTTTATACTTTTGTTTTGAGATTTGTAGCTTTTCGATTACTTCCAAAAACACCACTTGGCGTCACGCTTAAGTAAGGGTTTGTACTGGGCGGGAAGCTCGCTCGAGGCGATGCGACCAATCACAGGCAGCCACGCTAACCGCGTCGGCCAATCACAGACTCGCACTCCGACTCTGAGCCAATAGGAAGGCCTGCCGCGCGCACGCGCGACGCAAGGCAACAGAAACTGGAGGGAGGCAAGCGGGGGAGGCCGCGGTGGCTACAAAGACTCTAGGACACGCCGCCGACTGACGAATAACGACACAGCTCGGTCGAATGGTCGGTAACGGCGCGGGTCACTACCCAATACCACATTAACTCTCCCTACACGGAGTCACCAAACATCGCGGAGCGCAACACACACCAACAAACAAACATACACACAGCGGGCAAAAACACACGACATAAAATCAGCACGGGACATAATTTTCGCGGTGAATTGGCGTCTCGTTACACATATATAGCCAGCTCTGTTTGATGCTCAGCTGAAAAACAGCAATACAGCCTCGGGCCACCCGAGAAAGGGATCCTCCGCGCAGTCGATGTCAGTGGATTATACACTACCGCGAGCACGGCACACGGAGCTCTACCATTGAGGGAACTCTGCTGCAAGCATTGGCAGAGAATCAGAAACAAACGGGCTACCATTGTAGCATGGTAGGAAAAAAGAACTAGGCAAATGCCCATGGCAGGGAATCAGAAGTGGGGAAGGTTTAGCCAGCCAACGGCAGGCAAATTAACGAGACGAGCGGACGACAAGCACATACACAAGCACATAATACAACAACCCATAGAGATTCTGCTGGGGCTAGATCAAAATGCCATGGCTGACGTACATCTAGACGTAGATGACGGCTGACGTAGATGACGACACATCTAAATAATCACTGGAGCGAGACGATCGTGCATGGTTTATGGACCAGGGTATTTCGCCACGTAGCAGCGGGTCTGAGGAGGAGGGGGGGGGGGGTGCTAGAGTCAGGGTCAGGGGTACCCGAGGTCTCGGAGCCGTCCAGTAGGCCGTCCCGCACCGCTCGCCACGGCGCCGAACTCCCAGATGAGACGCGGCGTTCGACACCGCACGGACGAGGCAGCCCGGCGGACACAAGCTCTGATACGGAAAAAGAAACACGAGTGACGACGAGATTTTACTGATTTCTCAGAACTTCAAAGAGTTAACTCTTAAAGAAATGAAGAAAAGTGTGCACTGTGCAGGAACATGAAGAAACGAATACTGTTGAGAATAACAATGAGCGAGATGAAAGACGTACCTAGCTGAGATATAGAAAGAGATAGGACACAATGATAAGTGAAGACATTTTTGGAGCATGATTGAGCTAACTCGATGAAAGACAATGCGACAGATAAGAAAGGAAACGGATTTTCAGATCCTGAATGATAAAAAGCCTGCAGAAGACCCAAACAGCTTTTAAATAGAAAGACAAATTCAACAACGCAAGGTTTTCAAATCAGAGTCTGACCCGCCGGGCGCCTGCGATCCCCCTCCCTCCCGGGTTCGAACCGCCGCGCCTCCCAAACTTAACCTAGATAGGAAGATGGCTCCTTGAGCCACTGAGGTCCGCTGCCCCGGCGCCGCCCGGGCGGGGGCGGGGGCGGGGGCGGGTCCTCCCCGCCGCTCGCGCCGCCCGGCCCTGACTATTGCACTGGCCCAGACGGCACCGCCACATTCTGCAAGAAACTCCCCCACTGTGCCTGAGAAAAGATCGGTTAAAGCGTCTCCGACTGCTTGTGGCGCCACCTATAGCAGCAGTTGCGGATTGGTCCGAGAGATGGCACTGGCGGCGCGCCCGCGCCCTGAATGACTGTTTGTTTGTACTCTGCGCGACACGGTCGCTTCACTCCCGCACTCACTCGCTCTCTCGCACTCTCACTCGCTCTCTCCCTCTATCGTCACCGGTGACCGCGTCTTTGGCGTGGGGTCGACCGGCGGAAGAGTTTGAACGACACAGCCGGTCCCGGGCAAGACGGGCAGACTCTGCCGCTCCTTACACGCTAATATCACACGACGGGGCCGGCGCGCGGCGGCGGCGGCGGCGGCCCGCCGGACTCGCTCAGGGACCTCGGCTCAGGCGGGGTGGGGGCGGGGAGAAAGGGAGGGGGTGGAGCGGGAAGCTGCCGACGAAGCACTGGCACTAACACTTGGGCGGGTCTACAACTCCACCCGGGGACACCTTAGCGCGCTCGGAAGGCCGCATGAGCGCACCATCACCACAAAACTTCTACCACCAGCCGGATTCGAACCCGCGACGGCCCGATGAGCTCCATTAGCGCCCAGGCGCTGATATGACCAAAATAACCCTCACAGACCGATACTACTCGATCGAAATCACGGACACGATCAAATCACAGGGCGCATGCGTCGAAAGAGAAGCCTGATTGGTCATGAGCGATTTCCACCGTCACTAAAACTTATGGAGACCGGCCTCTTTCGGCCGGGCCACGCGGTGGACTTAATCCTACTCTGAACACATACCTTAAACGCTATAGTCGTCTCGTCTCCGCCGTGTAGCAAAGCTCGCGGCCGGGCCGCTCATCTGGCTTCGTGTAGCAGCAACAGTAGCGTGTAGCAAGGTGGTAGCACAGCAGATTCACCAGTACGCAACTGCGCACCAAACTGGATCAACTTAGCTGGCTTAACCACTCACATACGCGTCAACTCGACGCATTTGTAACAGTGACTCTCCTCTTTCAAGTTTGTCCTGGTTTGGCGTATCAGACCGCTAGGGCTGCCAGGTTAAACCTCAAACGCAGCTCTTGAGTTCTCCTTATCAGCGTTTGGCATCACTCAACTTTTTAATACTCCTCCGGTCAAGATAATGTCATCCGTGTCAAGTTCATGGCATGTCTGTCTTTGATCTTCTTTGAGATGAATCCATTTATCAGAAGTTTCCCTCGAGGAACTGCATCCCTGAGAACACCCCGGTTCCTCCGACCCACAGGGATCCTCACGGATCCCAGGGATCCTCACCGGTCCCGGGGGTCCTCAGGGGTGTTCCGCAGCTCATCTAGAGCAGCCCGTCTGGCAGGAACGGCCCGCGACCGGGCTCCTCCAGACCTCCGGAGGCCGCCCACAGGGAGCTGTTCCCGGCGGCCGAGCTGCTGCTCCAAGCCATGCTGGCGCCGCCGCCGCCTGGGCGCACACAGACGGAGGTTAGGGGGAGACATATCGAGTACGTACGGGAGACAAGCAGACACAAAGACGAAGACAGGCGGACAGTCAGACAGATAGACAGACAGAAACATACGAGTAGACCCCGACTGAGCGTCGCCGGGTAGAATCGTAGGCCCCGGATACATGAGCAAGTAAATGCGTATTATGAACGGAGTTTCCTATTCACTTAGCATTGTAATCCATTCATCATACGCATTTAACTCTGCTCATATATTCGGAGCCATACAGGAGAGCCCAACAGCCCCTGTCTGGGCCTACTCTTTGTCCATGTGTTGTACATTTTTGTTTTGTTTCGTTTTTGCTTTTGTTTTCTTAGTTTGTGTTCAGTTTTTTTTTTTTAAGATAACTTTTGTATACCCTCGTGTCCGGCGTTTTCCCATAAGTACGCCGTACTCAACTTCCACCTCATCTCTTATGGGATTTGTCATTTCGTACCAAACGCCCGAGGCATCTCCAGTTTCCTGTACCATTCCATACTCTACAATCCGCTTGTCACCTTCATTCGTTCCACACTCCGCAATATGTGCGCCCCTTCCATCTCCCATCGGTAATACACCCCCGTCTTCCCTCACTCACCAATAGCGTCCGTCATATCACTCCAGGCGGCCGAGGCGGGCGGTTTGGACCCACTCTGGCCTCCGGTAGCCGCGCCCTGGCTGGCGGTCGAACTGGCCGGGTTGGACGGCGGCTGACCGCCTCCGCCGCCGCCGCCGGGAAGACCCAGCTGCTGGAGGACCTGACCAGCAGCCTCGTCGGAGACGGCCTCCGCCAGGATGGTGGTGTTACTGAGCACGCAGTTGTTGAGCGCGCCCTGGGCCTGCGGAAGACGAGGGAGGTGATGGTGATAAAATGACGACTATTGACATAAAACTGAATTGAAGATCAATAAACGAAAATGAGTGGCTTGTAATCTGATTGTGGCATCATTTTTTATTGTGATATGGGAGCGCAAAAATATGATTAGAGCAATGGAAGAAAAGGACATTTTTGATATCACGATTTAGAATTGTGAAGTCGGAACAAATAACTCCTAGAGTGAGGTAAGAAAAATACGAAGCGACACCCACATGATATTGCCAGAATCGCACATAATTAGTGAATGAGCCAGACATAAAAGAATTCGGTCATCATAATACTTATGCAAAGCTAAGTATCAGCAGCTGTGGCGTATCAGCCGGTGGGAGGTCACCCAACGTCCATACCTTGGCGGCCTCCTCGCGAGAGCTGTACTTGACGAGCGCCACGCCCTGGCTCAGATACATGTGGAACGTGTACAGCGGGCCGTGCTGCATACACAGCGTCTTCAGCGTGGAGCCGTCAATCTGTGGGTGGGAGGGGACAGAGTTAGAATCGGAGTGGAATAGTCATCAGGTAGACTGTGCTGTGCCTTAGTGGGAGACGTCAGTCGTGACTGGGGAAAAGTGTATCGAAGTCAGAGGTATAAAGTGGAAACAGAATATAATCCGCACTCAAAGTCAGAATAATTCATAGTGCATACAAAATACACACACAAGACACCACGTCCCATTCATTTACCCTGATATCATAGCCGGAAGATCATCAGCTATGCCCACACCTCAGCCTGCAATGCTATCCACGGTTACACCCAGGTTACATCTCCGTAGCAGCACCTGAAATACATCTCACCTGCGCGGTCAGGTTCCTCAACAGTAGCCAGGCCGATCCTCCGCCTCCACCGCCACTGTAGCTACCGCCCTGGACCTGCGCGAACGCCGAGCGTTGGTCGTACGGTCCCCCGGGCCGACCCAGAGCTCCGCCGGCCTGGCCGCCGCCCCAGCCGCCCGTTTTGTTCAGGCCGGGCGGCGGACCGCGCGACTTGACGCCCCAGTCGGCGCCGCCACCACCGCCGCCGGCAGACATGCCCGGCTTGCCGCTGTGGAGAAGGGGTGGGGTTAGGGTGAATATCGAGTACCGTTACTCAGTGGCCCGCACAGAGTTGGCGCGAGATGCGACCAAAAACAAATGGGAGCATTGTAATTAGGGCCGCATTTCTGTGTCTCCCGGACGACGTAAAGTCTTCGTCGTCCGAAAGACATCGAATTCGGTCTAGAGCTTCAAGTAACGGCTCCTTTATCTATTAGGCTCTTTCTGAAGATATCCGGTTTTCGATTCGCAATCCGAAATGAAGCACAATAAAGATGCAGAGATACATCAAAAGTACACGCCACTAAACAGAAGGTGCATAAAAAATAATAATAAAAGTAACACAGTCCAAATAAAGCCAGGAAGTATGTGATGGACCGAGTGGGCCATCCCTCCCTCCCTTTCCCATCCTCCCCGTTTGAAGATCTCACCCGTTCGGATTAAAGCTCCAGGTAGAGCTGCCGAATCCGTCTGCCGTGGTGGCGGTCGGCGACGCCTTGCCAGTCTGCATGGCCAGCAGGTCCTGGCTGGATCCGGCCGCTCCGGCCAGTCCCAGCGGCGAGCGTGCGGCAGCGCCCGGCGTCAGGGTAGGATCGTCGTCCGCGGACTTCATCTGCCGACACCGACAGACGGCGTTAGAGGGGGCGGCGGGACGGGAAGGGGTAATGGTGATGAACTAGCATGATTACTCTATGTTTGGTAATTTCAAATTTGGTTTTAGATAAGGCCGGAGTCATTGGCAATATAATATCATGAAATAGAGTTAAAATGCCGAAATTGTCACGGGCATCAAAACAAACGGGTTAAATTCCAAAAGCTCCAACTCCACTCAAGACCACTAGAAAAGAAAAGAAATGACGAAGAATAGCTGTTGTTCCACGCACAAATCAGACAGCCAGTTGCTCGTATATCTATCAAAATAAATCCAGCAAAAGCTTATTTATTCCAATCTCATTGCAGTTACCCTCGGCATCAGACCATTCCTTGACATACTTCACAAAGTCCCTTACAATATCCTCTAACTTTCCCTTATCCTCTCGCCATACCCCTCGCTCTCACCTTCCACGGTTTTCCCGGCTCAAACTCGGGCACCAGGTCGGCGTAGCTGTGCCCCCCGGCTCCCCCGGCGCTCTCGGGCCAGCCGTCCTTGCTGTCCTGTCTGTCAGACGCCGGTGTGGAGGGCGCGCCACCGCCGCGGCCCGCCGACCCGTCCGGCCACCCGCCGTCCCTACCGCCGCGGCTCGCTGACCAGGCACTCTCGGCCATCAGGGTCATGGGCGGAGAGCCGCCCGCCTTGCTGGCGGAGCCCGGCGCGCGAGAGAAGTCCTCGTCACCACGCAGGAGCTGTGAGAGGGGTAAAACATTATGACTAATTGGTAGAAAAAAATCGGAAATGCATACTGACTGTTCAAGGCTAAAAATTTCAGCAAAAAAAATATGCAGTGATCAGAGAACATCCAGCAATAATTACCAATGGATAAGTAGATTCATCACTACAAAATGTTATGCTGCTACGTTTTTTATTGAAAGAAGGAAGCATTGCAACAACACGGTATGAATTTGAAATCATTAGCACCATCAGGCTTGTTGGTGACTTTGTAGACCTTGGTAACGTCGGCAGGCATGGAGATGCAACAATGTAAGAGGTCGGGAATGTCACAGACAAACACATAGAACAAGGGAGGCCCAGACACTGAGCCTTGCGGCACTCCGCTTGTTACATACATTCAGTCTGAGAGTGATCCAATAACGTTCACCCTTTGCCACTTGCCTGTTAAAACGTTTGCGTTGGCCGGGAATTTGCCCACTTAGACCCATGATCAAAACTACCATCAAATAAGTCACACGCAAAAAAAAACTCAGTCGTCATACCAGGTCCCAGCCTTTTCCATCTTATAACGCCTCAAATATCAGGCCCAAATAGGCCCAAATAGAGCGCATAAAGCGTGGTGGGAGGGGCCTTTCCATCACCTCGTCACAATTCCATTTCATCTGCCTCTCTCTTCCCTCCTTTTCTCACCCACCTTATCGGCGGTCGGCAGTTTCCACTGGCTCAGGCGACTCTGCGGCATGTGTCCAGCCGCCACGCCGCCGTCGCGAATGCTCAACTCTCCCAGATTAGCCGGTAGTCCGTGCAGGTCGGGCGCTCCGCCGCCGCCCGGTCCCTTGTAGAGGAGCTGTCCGCCGCCGGCCGCCGCGGCCGCCATCGGCGCCGGCGCAGGGGGCGGCTGCTGCTGCTGCTTCAGTAGCATCGTCTGCTGGCTGGATATCTGGGCCTGCAGTAACGAGATAGTATGGAGTTAAAGCTGGGAGCTGGGAGAGCTGAGTTAGAGCAAAGGCTGGACGGACAATATGTTAGAGCTAGGAAGCAAGCGAGGGTGGGACGAACAGAGTATAATTAGAGCGAGAGTTCGAAGTCAAAAGGAGTGTCTGTTGTTTGCTAGGGTTTAGGGCTGCGTAGGCCTTAGGCAGCAGGGCCATCATAACGATTCGAGAGGATAGTCTTTCTCCTCCCTGTTATTTTCTCTCTCTTTCTCAAACCCCCTCTTTCCTTCTCTCCCTCCATCCGCTCTCACCTGTATATTGGAGATGTTGTTTTTTATTCTCATCATTTCCATCTGCAGACTGTGCAGGTGGGGCGAGTTGTTGGGGTGGCCGCGGGCCAGGTGCACCTGACGACTCAGCTGGTCCAGGTGCTGCCGAGACACAGGTCAGATATCAACACCAGGTCACACCCCCACCATTACGGCCAGAGGTAGTGCGGGTTAACACGTTAGGTGTCCGAATACACGTCGCCTAACCGAACTTAAGGTTGAGGATCATGCATTTATCAGCATTACGATCCAGGCTGGACAATAGTAACATAAACATTAGTTATAAGATTATGTTGTTTAGAGCAAGACAAAACGTGCAGAGCATGTCTCTGTTAGCAATAGCAAACGACAAACGTTAAAATATTGTATGTACACGAGTCATGAGATAGTCACTTCAGCTACGGGCCACACTCCCTCACTCAACAATAAACTCCCAGCCCTGTTCTAACACAGCCCAGGTCAGCCCAGCCCGGCCCAATCCTAACACAGTCCAGTTCAGTTCAGCATTGTATAACCCAACCCAACCCAGTCCAGTCCACCTCAGCCCAGCACAGCACAGCACATCACAGCCCAGCTCAGCCAGCGGCCCAGCCATCAGTCTCTTCCCTTCCACTCGTACCTTGATCTGACTGAGCAGATGGTTGAGCAGCACCAGCGTCTGCGGCGCCATCGGCTGCTGCAGTATGGCCGGGTTCAGATGTCCGGCGTGCACGGCCATCTGGATCTGGTTGATGAGCGGCCGCAGCTGCTGTGGGGACGGCTGCGGCGGCTGACCCGGGAACCGGGACGGCTGGCCGCCCTGAGCCTGCTGCCGGAGCAGCTGCTGCACCACCGCCGGGTTGATGTTACCGGCCGCCGGAGCCTGTGGGAGGGAGAAGGGTCAGGTCACGTCAGAGAGGCACAGTCAAATTTCCCTGCCTGAGAAAGTCTATTGGACTGTTTGACTTTTCAGGGGCGTCACTACAGGAAAAACGCAGACACAGATTAGTAGCTAGTCTTCGTGACGTGACCGAAGACAACACTGCCAAGTTACTCTCCAACAACCAGTAATTATCACACTTGATCCGTAGTAAAACTTTTCAACAAGCAAAATAACAATGACCTTCCTCAGAGCAAAAGCCACCCAGGCATTTCCTCCCACTTTCATTATCTCTTAAAAACATGATTTTGTTCTCTCGCCTCATTATCTATCGCCCTTTCATCGTCCCTTGCTCTCATCACCCATCCGCCCTCCTCCCCTCTCTACTCACCCCAGCAGCGGGCAGCTGTACACCACCATAGGGCGCGTGCGGCGGCGGCATCTGCGAGAAGCCGGCCGGCTCGAAGGGCGGGTGGTCCGGTGTGCGCCAGTCCCCTGCGGGCCCGCCCGGACCCCCGGCTCCTCCGGCTCCGCCTCCCATCCGCAGCTGGTCCACGGCGTCCTCCAGCGTCAACATCATGTTGTTGCGCATCATCGGGTCCACGTCGTCATGCTGGAAATGAAACGGAGAGTGAAAGGAGAGGGATACAGGTTATTCAGTGAATATATATACGGTACCGCGGTTGGGCACGTGATGAAGTTATCTCTAATGCAATGTGCAAAAGCGAGTATGAAATTAGCGTTATGTTAGTGATTTTATTTGAGTAGTATTCTAGATTGGTGTGTAAGTTTATGTTAGTCGAGAAAGCCAGTACATTTAGCTGGTTGACAGAACAGCTACTAGTGGTTACATTAGTGTGCAGCTACTCATCCTAACAGGACCAGATGGAACACCTCGTTCTAATCGAGACAAAACTCAACTTGCTGGCAAAAAGATGTCTACCATTAGATTTAAAGACGTTTGTTTCAGGTTTCGGCCATCTTCCACTTACAGCAAATCAAGGAGATATTTCGAACCAGCCCAGACGAGCATGCCCATGAGAACGCCGGACAAGAGAGCGTCCCAACCCAGCCCATACTCACCGTTTCTGCTCACTACACCATTCCATTCTCTGTGTCATGAACTCATAAATCTCAAACTCATGAACATCATTTATCAAGTATGCATCATGCATCATGAACTCATGTATCATGAATATTTACCCTCGTGATTTCTCCAAACCACCCACCTTAAATCCGTGGTCTCCCATGCGGGCCTTGTCGTACATTGGGTTCTTGGCATGTCCCATGCCGCCAGCCGGTCCGCGGCCCTGAATAGGCGGGGGCGGGGGCGGGGGCGGGGGCGGGGAGACTCAGTTCCGACCGCCCTCAGCAGGGGAGGGGGTCACCCGGGATGGGGAGAGGGGGCGGGGGGCACGGCACACGCACATCACACAGGGACAGACCAGTGATGTCTTTGGTTTGAATTTCAGGGAGAGATTGAGGGAGTATAATTTAATTTGTTCAGTGAGTCGAAACGAAAAACTTGCAGCCGGCTTCTCCAGGCAATTTCAGCTAAAAATGCTGATTAAGGTTCAGCTGAAAGTTGGCTGACGCTCGAACATTACAAACTAAGTCAAAATTTTGCGTCCTGAAACACACCATTGATATTTTTGACACACCAAATGGCGATTCACCAATGACACCACTAGTGAAGACGCGGTGATCACCAGTGAGGGTACCATCACCAATGCTCACCAATCAAAACACAGGACACACACAGAGCAACGGCACACGGGATTCACACCCACAACCCCGCAGAGAAGCAGCTCCTAGTCAGGGCCGGGCTGGCCTGTTGGCAGCTACCAGTTAAAATTCATACCAAACAAACTTAGTACACCTACCAAGGCTCGTCTAGAAAATATGGTTTAACAATCGGCACCCACAAGCGCATACCGAAGCACCAGTATACTAAAACTAGGTATCACATATTACACAAAATAGCAGGGTGGGACGAAACAGGGAAGCGTAAATCCTTTTAAAACGATCTACCAAAAAACTGAAACCGTAGCCCACACAAAACAATCTATGTGGCTGTCATGGGCGCGTATGACACAATAAAACAAAGCCAAGTGGAACTCAGCACACACTGAAAAGTTAGATCTGCCGTATCTTACCTGTTGCTGCCTTTCTGGAACATACTATCCAAAGTCTAACAGAAGACAGCTATATAACTATCTCTAACGCGAAATAGAACTTCCAATCTTTCTTTCCAATGATGCTTAATTTCCCCATTTCCAAACTACATGAGTGTCCTTTACGCAACTATATCACAACTCATCTGTCGCAAAACTCTTACCTGATCCACTCCCCCTCCCTCAACACTCTCCCCTCCCATCCTCTCTCCTCACCTTGGCCGCCCAGTCCATCTCGGGCTCTCCCCAGGCTCCGGGCATCACCGGCGTGGTGGGCGTCTTGGGTTTACCCCATCCTCCCGGCCCGTCTCCTCCCCACTTCTCCTCGGCGCCCCAGCCGGCCGGGCCGGGCGCCGGCTCGCCCCAGCCGCCGCGCGGCGGTCGGCCCCACGGGTCGACGCCCTTGTGGTCGGGAGGCATACGGGAGAGCATGTGTAGGGGAGCGGGCGGGCCGCCCGGCAGCACGGGACGCACGGGACCGGCGTCCTTCCAGCCGCCGCCCCCGCCACCGCGCTTGTTGCCTGGAAAGGAGAGAAAAAGAAATAGGCATGAAGCTTAACATGGAAACAGGCAGAGGGAAAGGCAGGTAGAGATTTAATTGAGGTATGACAAGCATTCTTGGAAGTAAAACACCCTGAGGGAAAGAATATAGAACAGATCTGAACAGCCACCCACAAACCATGAATTCATACCCAGATGTGACTAGACGCGGGACCTACTAATGATAGCATGGTAAGCATTTGCTACTCATCCCCGGCTATCACGTGACCCAGCTAGCTCCCTACCCCCACCATCACGTGCCACTCACCCCAGTCGTCGAAGCCCATGGATCGGCGGGCCATCGGCGGTGACCGTTCGTCGCCCCACTGTCCGGGCCCGTGCTGGGGAGGTCCGCCCCACTGAGACGGAGGCTTGCTGCCTGCGCAACGAGGAGTGGTACGGTCAGTACAGACGGCCACGTGAGGATATAATAAATGGCGTGGCGAGATTTTGGATAGTTCTTTATTCAAGAAAGGCAACTTACACAAGTTGAATCCAATTTAGGTTCGAAATTCGTTGTCAGGCTATGCATTGTAATTCAATTCCAATCTGCAATCATCGGCAAAACTGCGCGAATCGCGGAAGCAGATACCACTCCTTTCCACCATCGCCGCCACTCACCCCATCCGTCTCCGTTGGGCGCGGGTCCGCGCGCGTCCCACGGCTTGCCACCTCCCCAGTCGTCCTTCCGGGCTCCAGCCGCCCACAGAGCCGCCGCTCCGCCGCCGCCGCCTCCGCCCCCGCCCGTGGCGCCGCCCCACTGTCCAGTGGGCGGGCCGGCAGGGGCACCCGTCCACATACCGCCCGGCTGCGGGGTGCAGAACGGGATCGTGTTGAATACCAGTGTGACCAAAACAAGGGCAGACTTAGACAAGACAGAGCAGATGAATGAAAAAAAAACACACACAGAGACAATCACGAGACAACACACTACAATTCATAACAGACCGTCGTCGCCGTACACGACGTCGTAGCCTGAAACCAGCTTGCTGATAATGAGAAAACTCTCCTATCCTTCCCACAGTCTGAGTCCACCCTATCACTCTCCATCCCCTCCCTCCCGTACCTGTGAATCATCGTCCTCGCCCCAGGTTCCTCCGATGTCGGACTGAGTAATTATATGGTTCCCGTGGTTACCTCCCTGGTTACCCCCGTTTGGTTACCTGTGAGTCGTCGTCCTCGCCCCAGGTTCCCCCGATGTTGGACTGGGGGATATGGTGCGGCCACTGGGTCTCTGGCGGCTTCACGGGCGGAGCTCCGCCGTTACGGGTGGACATTTGCCACACTTCCAGACCTGGAGCGGAGCGAGTACGGATCGTCAGGGGAGAGAGAACAAACCTACATGGACAGAACGGCATTCAGGTATATGTCTTGTGATAGCAGAGCTATAAGAAGACTGCAAGACATGGACTGGGAAATGGGAAGTTCCTGGTTCGTCAGGAACGGAAAACTTCACCAGGGAAAAATTAGCACATCAGAAGACACAGTAGGGGAGAGTGGGGCACATTCGTGCATGGGGCACATTCGTTTTCAGCAGTTTATGGGAACACGAGTAACTGCACGAGCTCAAGGTAAATTATGGAAATATGTCTATCATTGCCGCCCTTCGTTCACCGTAGAAGACAACACTGTACCTGCTGTCATGCTTGATAAAAACGCAAATTTGTAATATTCGTGAGCTTTCCAAACTTTTCTCATATTATCCATTTTCGTGATCCTGACTCGGAAATGTGGTTCAGCTTTTCAAAATTGGGGGTGAAGAAGCTCACTCTATTCACGGAACTGCTGCAAACTTGTTTGTTGAAAAAGTGTCATTTTTTTTCAAAAAGAAATTTTGAAATATGTTACTAATAACGTTGTGGGGCACGTTCGTCTACGCACTGCCTGGGGGCACATTCGTGCATATTTTTTTTTTAGTTTTTGCGATTTATGACTTTATCTGTAGTAGGTTTCTCTAATGACGCTCGCCTGACTCAGTCTCGACTGCTTGCGACGTCGTGACGAGCAATTCACGCGAACTTGGCGAGGTCACGGAGGCCGGCAGTTGGCACATTCTTGTTGGCCAGCCCATTCTTTCTACATATGTTGTGCAATGCATTCTTGTCGAAAGGAATCAAGTGAAATGACCCCCTTTAAGAGAGTTTAGCGTAGTGAGGAAAATCATCGTGATGATAATGAGCATATTTAATTGACCGAATCCTCAATGTAATCTGAATAAAATGACAAATAGCAAAAATTCGGGTATATTCGATCACAGATCTTTGTCAACCGATACCAGCAGGCGCCACAATTGTAGATGTCAAAATACTTTTTGTTCAGTACACATGCACAACAGTAGATATGTCCTCAGGGAAAAGATTTATGGTTGGTAATTCTAAAAGTCGCAGCAGTCAAACATAATATGTACAGGGAAAAACCTATACACAAGATTAAAGTGCGTGTGTGCCTAAGCATATACGAATTTAAGATGAAACAATACTTGCGGATCAATTAAATGGGCAGCAAGTTACACTCTTACCCTGGACAAAGTTAGGGCACATATAACATTTACACTGTGCGAAACAATTAAATGAGCATATTATACATAAATGAACATTATATACGTAAATGAGCATACATGAGCATATTATCATACTATGACTACTCATACCCTGGACAAAGTTAGGGCGCATACAGCATCTATGAAAACGATCTACACAATCACTTTTTAACGTGGTGAGCTCTTGAAAAATGCTAACCTACTTTGGAAGTAGCTGCCAGGAGGTGCTGTTATCGTTAATAGCTGGCATCCTATCGCGGATGGTGATGGATTCGGCAATCCTCCTGTCAGCTTCATCCTTACATTTGCGTACGATGCGTGCTATCAGAGTCGTGTCCGTTGGGGTCAGGTCTGGGTGCTCGTGCGCGAAATGTTCACCCATTGGTGTGCCTAGTTTCTTGTTGGTGCCATCCCGTAAGTGTTCGTTATATCGCAGTCGTATTGGCCTACCGCTTTCTCCTACGTAAGTTTTGTTGCACAGACTACATTTCAATTCGTACACTACGTTTTTCGTGTGACACTTTCCCCGCAGCCCAGCTTGACATGCGTGGCAGTGCTGTCTGCCTGAAGGACACGGTGGGTCTTTGAGAGCTGACCGCACTAGCTGTCTTTTGAGTGTGTTTTGATTTGTCCATGCTGCAAGGATCGGAAACCCTGATGTTTTCAGCACTTTTTGGACCTTGGAGGCCACTTCATCATTTATGAATGGTAGTTTGACGTAAACTGTTCCCCTGCGCTTCCTTTTGTCCCTCTGCACCCTAGCTACCCCCCTGTTTGCACGAGAGCATTCCCGTAGCATGACACTTTTGATGAGCTTAGCTGGATAACCGTTCAGCTTAAATAGGGACGTGATCACATCTAGGCTCTTGTCCCTACTTGGGATGTCGGAACTCATGTATGCTCATTTACGTATATAATGTTCATTTATGTATAATATGCTCATTTAATTGTTTCGCACAGTGTAAATGTTATATGTGCCCTAACTTTGTCCAGGGTAAGAGTGTAACTTGCTGCCCATTTAATTGATCCGCAAGTATTGTTTCATCTTAAATTCGTATATGCTTAGGCACACACGCACTTTAATCTTGTGTATAGGTTTTTCCCTGTACATATTATGTTTGACTGCTGCGACTTTTAGAATTACCAACCATAAATCTTTTCCCTGAGGACATATCTACTGTTGTGCATGTGTACTGAACAAAAAGTATTTTGACATCTACAATTGTGGCGCCTGCTGGTATCGGTTGACAAAGATCTGTGATCGAATATACCCGAATTTTTGCTATTTGTCATTTTATTCAGATTACATTGAGGATTCGGTCAATTAAATATGCTCATTATCATCGAAATGACCCCCTGCCAATTTCCTTTGGTAAATTTCTGGTAATGCCCGGTAATTTCTCGAACTTTGCAGGGTGAACGGAAGTGCCCCACCTCTTGAACGAATGTGCCCCATAGGTGGGGCAGTTTCGTGCAAATGTTCAGAGTTATTAAAAGTCATTTTTTCTAATGGACGCAATAATTTTAGAGGATAACTTTTAAAGAGGAAAACTATCTGCAATAGTTCCTTTCCATACTACAATCAACAATTTTGCCATTGCACTAACCAAAGAACAGATATATGGGTTTATCTATCCATTTTTTGCACGAATGTGCCCCACTCTCCCCTACACTTTCACAGTGCACTTTCAGAACTCGAGCAGATTGAAACTCGTTAGCCGTTATGGAAAGAGTACCACAAATTGACCAACAGCCTCTCTGCTCGTTTACTTTTATTCCAGCATTCTCCCTGCCCCTCTCCCTCCCCTACTTCGATTCCTCCCTTCCTTTCACCCCTTGATCCCTTCCTCCCTCCTTACTCACCGTTGTTCACTCCTGGCAATTTCCAGGCGACCATCGTGCCCGGCGGCTCCTTATCGGCCGGCTCGGGGCTGGCCGGCATGTCCCACACACTGTCCTGGTTGACCTGACTGCTGGACCAGCCCTCCGTCGCCGTGATGGCCGCTCTCATCGCCTTCAGACGCTCCAGGTCGGAGGTGTCGGCGCCGCCGCCCTGCGGAGCGGCCGGCGCGGCGGGCGAGACGGCCGAGCCGCCGCCGCCACTGCCGTTACTGCCCGAGGAGGAGCCTGCGGGCAACGGAACGGAGGAGTCAGACGGGAGGGTACAACGACCAAAATGGTACACGGATATTGTGTGGAATTCAGACGAAAACCGCTATCTACGAAGTCGATTACATAGCCAGTTTCGAGTGCCTCCTTTTGCTTTCTGGTGTGCACCAGAAAATGACTATAAATCGGCATTGACTTGCAAGCCGTGAGCATACATGATTCCCAAGTCCACTTTACCCTACTAAAGCCTTTCATACATCTTCCTCCCAAGCGTTCTCCAACTGGCTCCATGACCCCTGTCCCACCCCGCTGCGCCCTCCGCCGTGCACTGACCTTCGGCTGCCGTCTGGGCGGTTCTCTGACCGGCCGTAGCTCCCGGCTGAGGCTGCGGCACCCCTCCCGCCGACTCCGGCACGGCGCCGTTCTTGGCGGCTCCTCCCGCAGCTCCGGGCGGGGGCGGCGCGGCGCCGGCGGGCGGCGGGGCGGCACCGGTCGGCCGCCCAGCGCCGCCCCACTGGCCCGGAGGCGGGCCCGGCTGACCCCAGTTGGTGGTGCCGGCGGCGGCGGTGGCGGCGGCCGGCGGCGGTGCGCCCCAGCCGCCCGTGCCATTGTTGCCAGTGCTCTCGCCTCCGCCTGCCAGCCGGGCCCAGCGCGGCAGACGCCAGCCGGCGGTGGAGGCGGGACCGCGCGGCGGCACACGCTGCAGGGTGGCCAGCGCGGCCGCGGCCGCAGACGGACTCAGCTGTAGGAGAGGGGACAGATGGTCAACGGCGGCTCACCGTTAAAAGGAAAAACTCTCGTAACCTCTTGTAAATCTCGTAGCCTCGTTATGAGGTCTCATGACCTCGTAAAGGTCATGCCAAGGACTCATAGGTCATTGCAAAGACTCGGCTCAAAAGGGACGACTCACAAGTCACAAAAACACCACACGTCACAGCTCTGCTCATGGCAAAGATTTATGCGTCATACCGACATACAGGCTATTTCCACGACCCAAATATGTATAATGAGAAAGGTCCTTAAGCTCAACAAAGACGACTCAAGCGAGAGCGTAGGCTGAGAACAAGCAGCCAGCTGAGAACATCGCAACAGGAGCATTTCACAGCCCATCGACCCTCCTTCATCTGAATAACCCACGGCAAAAATTCCACATCCTCTTCACAGACTGCCCTACTTCAACCAACACCAATAGCCTCAAACTCCAAAATAGCGCCGCCTCAAAACTGAACAACGCACAAGAAACTCAGCGTTCTCATGGCTCTATGTGGGAATTTAGCCACTTGGCAGAATCTCTAGCCGCCTCTGTACGGTCAAACGATATACCTGCAGGCGTTTGTGGCGAGATCTTACCTTGGCTGGCACGGTGGAGGGGTCGGTAGCACTCATGGACGGAGGAGGTATCACAGGGGGGAGCGGGCCCGCACGGGCCGGAGCTCCGGATGGACCGGGCACGGTCGGCGCCGACACCCCAACCCCTGCCGGAAGAGAGGGGAGGGTCGGGTCAGCTTAGACACTCCCCGCTCCCGACCCTTGGAGGCAGAGAAGGTCAAGTCAGGTCAGACACATCCACCTTTAATGAGATGTGCGGATCAGGTCAGGTCACTAAACAGCAAGACCTGCTGAGACACATAACAGGTCAGACTAACAAAGGCAATCCCCGACCACTGTTCGACCTGCAAACGGCTTAAATCTATTCAGGTCACCACATCATAAAGTCTGCACAGACAGACAAAGTGACTGTCAGGCGAATGAACAAGCGCTGGACTGAAGTGAACCTCCTTTTACATAACCCATTTTCAAGTCAGAATAAACTTCATTAACTTGGGCAAGCCGGGAGCATGCAGTCCAAAAGTCAGATACGATTCTCACATCTCACAACAAGGGAGCAATTAGCATACAAATGGCAAATTCTGTCTCCTAAAACATTCCAAATAATAAGCGATTCGCTCGATCCCTGGCAGAAACAGATGTCCTGGATCCTGATCACACCGCCAGAATGTTGGAATGTGTCTCATTTCATGACAAACGTCTGAACAAGTTTTCATCCTTCATCGCTATCCTCCCAAAAACACATATCCTAGCGTGTCCCATTACTATTACCTGTTTATACTTTATATAACGACACCACTGTACGATACCAAGTCCAGAGTACGGCAACACCAAATTACAACACCTGCGAACGACAAGCAGTGTACGACAGCTCAGTGCCGCTGTTGGACGTTACGTACCGTCGTACTCGGGGTGGGAGTCGGTGCTGGCCGCCGGTGCTGTTGTTACTGCCGTTGTTGTTGTTGTTGTTACCGCTGCTGACGGAGCAGCGTCACCCATCTGCAGGAACAGAGAGAGAGAGGCGTGGAGGGTCAGCGGAATGAACAAAGGAGACGAGAGGGAGAGATGAGTACACACAAGATCCCATAGACAGCGTGACATTGGCTCCGTAAGCCCCAAAGTCGGGCTGGGAAAGCAAACGGCGGTTACAGCACAAACAAAATTTTACGATCCCCTTGCCACAAACGACTGTCGGCATGAATTAAGAACACCCGGTGTCATAGATTTCCGACATCACAAACCACGGCCCCGCCCCATGCCCCTCGTCCCTACACCTGATCCACAGGTGTTCCCTGAGCGAGCGTCAGAGAGAGGATGGGAGGAGGGGAAAGAGGGACGGAGGTGCGACAGATGGCAAGGTGTGAGGGACAAACAAATCTATAGCCGCGGGGCTTCTGTATGTACGGCAGGTTGGTAAGGAAAACAGGTGGATCTGAAAAAGGCACGAAGAGCGGGTTGTCCGGACACGACCTGATGCTCGGAACACAGCAGCTCTGAACAGCGCAGCTATATTATTTCAGTAGCAAAAATAATGGACTTTAGCCAGACAAACTCAACATTCAACAGATCTTTACATTTTGGTGCTCCAAACACAGTCATTTGGAGAACCACCTAAAGCACACAACTAAATTGACTACACGATCACTCCAGACTCATCCCACCGACAAAAATCACGCAACTCAAGACCTCCCACCAATCAAACAACTCACTCTACCTCTCACCCAACTCACCTCACTCAACACCTCACACATCTCACTCACACACCTCACTCCTTAACTACTCACCGTCTCAGTAGCGCCGGTGGAGGAGGCCGTTCGCCGGGGCAGTGTCGACTCCGACGGTACCCCTGCGTCTGACCCAGGCTCACACTGGAGAGCGGTAGAACGCGCTACCGGCGCTACCGGTGGATGAGAGCGATCTACCGCCACCGGCTGAGAAGGGGAGGGAAGGGTGATATTTTAGAGAATAAAGAACGGGAAATATATTGTATTGTGGGAAAATCTTAGTGACAACTGCGTGGGAGATTTAGATATTGGTAGATCCATAATGTTTTACGCAAGAAAAGGACGAAAATGGCTAAAATTAACTACAAAGCAAAAGCAAATTCAAAATACACTGAAGTAGGTACTAGGATCGTGGTTTCTATAAAGACAATCATAACGCATGATGATAAGGTTTCATGACAGCGATTGTTTTTCAATGATTGTTGCTCGTCCAGTTAAAAAAAAAAACAAGTCATTTTTCGTTATATAAGACATCATCTCAAAAACTTCCTCCTCTAGCAAAGTACAGGTTAAATCGACAGGGAAGGTGGGCGTAAGTAGTAGACTCATGCAATATACTCACGTTGACAGACTGCCCTGAATTATTGCAGTGGACCATTGAGATATTATGTGTATCTTTGGTGTTTGGAGTCACGCCAAACGCTGGAAAAGAACAGAACAGGAAAGGTAAACCACACATCAGCAAAAGGCATGAGGGAAAAATTATGTATGTTTTATTCAATTATGTTCAGTTGGCTTTGTAAAAGTTATGCAAACGTGCCATTAAAAATACAGTGTGGCAACTCAGCATGCAAGCGACACGATTCTCTAAAATACAGGTATAATTTACCAGTATAACGCCTTTTGGGGCGACTAACGGAGCGAGCGAGAGGGTGGGCCTCGCACGTGCGAAATCGTGAGGGGGTACCTCCAGCTGACTTGTGCACGGCACCCTACTAACCGGTCTCTAGCGATGTGCCAAATTTGAGCACAATCGGCCCAGCCGCTCTCGAGATCTGGAAGCGGCACCCTGCACGTGCGCACGTGCAAAATGGGTCCCAACTGACTTGTGCACGGCACCCTACTAATCGGTCCCTAACCATGTACCAACTTTGAGCACAATCGGTCCAGCCGTTCTCGAGATCTGGAATCGACCCCTGCACGTGCGCACGTGCAGCAGCACCCCAACTCTGGCACATGGATATGCATTTCCTAGTGGGTGCCTACCTACATGCCAACTTTCAGCGCAATCGGCCAAGTAGTTACCGAGATATTGCAACAATTACAAAAGTGACACCTCTTCGTTTTGCACGTGGCACGTGCATAAGGGGTCACCCACATGCATCGGGAATAGTCCAATACTTGGTAGAAGGAATGAAGCTACCCTACAAAAATTACCGCGTGTAAATCGGTCAAGTGGTTGCTGAGATATAAGCGTCGCAAAAGCGTGACCACGGCCGGCCGGCCGGCCGGCCGGCCGCTCATACTCAGAAATTTCCGTTAATCTAAGGAAAGACTGCGCTCGCTTCGCTCGCTCCGTAATAAAACATGTTCAAATGCATAAATATTATAAAAGTATAAAAATCATTTTAGGCCATGAAGTGCGAATTAAGTAAGAGAAAATCCCGTTTTTCCGTGAATATATCTAGCGAGTTTTCACATATATTTCAACGGGAGCAGTGATTATCCCGCGCCGGGCCGTTGCTCGGTGCCAGGGTATATCATCGGCACAACCACGCTAGGCTGAGGAGGTTCGACCCCCACCCCCACCCCCTAACTCGACTCCCGGGCCACGTAGCGATACGCAGCAAGCGGGATTCGAAAGAATAAAAATATTGATGAAAGTGTTTCAGTCCTTTTTCGTTCATGTCAAAGATAAGGTCACCAGAAGTCATCAAAGATCAATTGAAACTGTTGTCTACTTCAACACTGTTTGACAAATCGATGCATACCCCGGCAGCTAATAGAGCTACAGCGCCGCGGAAAAACGCATGAACTCGCGCCCTGGTGAGGGGGGGGGGGCTATTTCCCCCCTCCAGACTTTTCGATGTATCTCCAGAACCGCTGCGCCGATCGTCACCAAAGTTTCAGTACCATCCCGGACATCAATTTTACACATTGTGACTGTTCTGTTGCTCGAGGCCAGAAATACAGCGAGGACCGTATCCAAAAAAATTTCCAAAGGCTATGATAGGTTGGCCGGAAATGACGTGAGAGTGACGTCATGTTCTGCCGTTTTCGACCCAAAAAAGGGTTTCGCGGGAAGAGCTGTCAGGCCTATAGCTTTGCAAATACAGAAAAACAATAAAGACATAAAAGCTGTAGAATTGACAGGGCTACAAAACTGCAGTCTCGGATTTTTGAAATTTTTGGATTTTGACCCCCAAAAATCCAAAAATTATTTTTTTTTAGTATAATAGCCATAAAATCCAAAAAGGTTATTGAATTTTCCAAAAACCGGAAAACATGTGATAGTCCTTACCGCCTTCTATCCACATACCAAATTTAAGATTGATACCTCTTTCTTTGGCGAAGTTATAGCAAAAAAAAAAAACTGTTCAAAATTGATGACGTCAAATTTTCAAACTCAATTTTAAGCAATTCTAGACCCCGTAGCGCAAAACAAAGACCACCAGTAGACTCCCCGTGACGAGCTGCATCGAATCAATACCCATTTAATGCAAAACTATCAACTTTAAAACTTGACCTTTTTGACCTGACCTTGACCTGACCTTCACCAGAAATAACCCTAACCCGTACCTGATAGTCTTATAACCAACACCATTGAGTTGGAAATGAAAAATTGGCCATAAAACATGCATCGCACAACCTTAGTACCTAAAGTTATGTTCATGTGACCTGACCTGTGACCCTTGGTGACCTGACCTGTGACCTGACCTGTTATTGTCAGTGACCTCCTATAGCAACATATGTACTAGGCAACTGACGCCCTATCGCTGATTCTCGACAAAATGCGTTTTCTTCGGTGTTATAGCGCATTCCCTAGAAGACCCGTGAGCGGTGCAACATTTCATCTTTGACCTGACCTGTGACGTCATCGGTGACCCCGAGGTCAATGTAATTTGGTTTCCCTAGACAAATTTGACAGGCCTTTCGAACGCCGTTTGAATTTTGCGGATCCGTCCAGTAGTTTCGGAGATACGAGGGGGCAAAAAAATAGCCCCCCCCCCCCCCACCAGGTCGCGTTATAAACAGACCCCACCAGGGCGCGGGTTAATAGCGCTTCTCAGATTTGACCTCAAATTAACAAAAAAACATCTTAAAGTAGCTGTTTTTAAGAAACATGTTTTTTATAATAACTGTTGACTAAAAAAGGTGCGACATTGCTATTATCAGCGTCATGTTCCCCTGGTCGAGATAGGTCCAATGAACTATAATTTGACCTTTAACCCGCGCGGGGCTGGGGTCTCCAGCCGAACGCGCGGGGCTGGGGGGGGGGTAAATTTTACCCCCCCCCCCTGTTATCTCCCGAACTAATGGTCGGATTTGGAAAATTCAAACGCCAATCGAAAGCTCTCATCACGAACTACTAAAAACATGTACTTAATTTAAAGTTTGAGGTCAAGGTCAAGGTCAGGTCAAGGGTACAAATTGCAAGTTTCTACAGTATCGGCCTTGCACCGTAGTTGCCGAAGAATGGAGTCATGGACTGAGACTGATCGCCCAAAACGTGTTCTTAGGCTACCAAGACAATATTCGTTGCATACAATATCATTCAGAGGTCAAGGTCAAGGTCAGGTCAGGTCAGGTCAGGTCACCAAAAAACAAAATATAGAAAAGGGCATGTGCGACACATGTTTTATGGGTCATTTTACTCATAGAATTCGATAAGCACACTCAATAAGTGATATGGACCACCTCTGGATGAATTTCAGGTCGAGGTCAGGTCAAGGTCAGGTCAAGTGAGGTCAAATTTTGAAGTTGGTTGTTAAGGCCTAAAATGGTGTCTATCTGATGTAGTTTTTCACGGCGAATCGAATGGTGCTATTTTTGTTTCCGTACGAGGTCTAGAACTTCCAAAAAAGTCATTTTTCAAAAAATTTGTGTGTCGTGACGTCATAAAATTTTGAATAACTCCCACATTTTTGAACCGATTCTTCTAAAATTTGGTATGTAGGTGCACATAGACCACTTCTCTGACATATATTCCGGTTTTTTCGATAGACTCAAAATTTTGGATTTTATAATGATTTTCCCAAAAAAATCAGTTTTTTGAAAAAATTTAGGCCAAAATCCAAAATTTTCAAAAAACCGAGATAGCCATTTGATAGACAAAGTAAAATTACGTATAACCTTTTTTGTTACGTCTTGATTCCTTTAAAAATGAAGATGTTAGCGGCGTTTGAACTTTTGCCGTTTTTGAGGCGAAAATGGCGAACATGACGTCACTAAAACGTCAATTTCTCAAAAATTTTCCGACGGATTTCGCTCAAATTTTCAGGGAACGTGTCAAATTGATGTAAGAAAAGGTACTGAAAGTTTGGCGGCGCTGCGCGCCGCCGTTTTTGAGATATCGCAAAAATTCGCGAGGGGGGGGGGGTAAAATTTACCCCCCCCAGCCCCGCGCGGGTTAAAGGTCAGTTTGAAGATTTGACATAAGGTCAAGGTCATGACCTGACCTGAAAAGGTCATGTTACATAGAAGTCGATCCATATCATCGACCTTAACACATCTAAGGTGCCCTTATCGCTTTAGCAAGTCTTTATCACCAGAGTCAAAGTACCAATTTAACAATTCTGAGACATGAATTTTATACATCCTGACATTCTTATCATTTCTTGAAAGTTACAAAGTGATTATTCAGTTTGTGTAGCTACCTATCGCGAGCATTTTAACTTTTTTTCCGAGGTAAGGTCACTTGATGTGACCCGAAATCAGTGTTGGAAAAGTTGCCGTTTTCTGGTATCAGATGCGCCAGGAATTTTGTACTCCACTGGAAAATGACAATTTTTGTACTCCAATGACTACGCGTCCCACACAAATAAAAGGGTGTGAAATTTGACAATGAACTGTCCATACTCCCTTGTGTTACAGGTACCCAGTGGAAACACAGCTTCTGCAATAACTGCACCCCAGCCCGGGGGCCCAACCCAAGTTGAAGTCAGGGCAAAAACTACAAGTACAATGCACAGCAAAATGAGGATCGAAGAGCCAAATATCCTGCATAACATCCACCAGCCGTGATGAACAACTACCAGAACTGATACTTGTACTGGTACATTGCTGTGTTATGCTCAACAAATTATGTGCTTACGTGGTCCTGTAGACAACGTACATGAAATAAACATACATGTAAAATGTTGTATTTTGTGAGCTTAATAGGTAACTTAGAATGACTTGCATTTGTGCCAAGTCCAAATCCATGATGATGATGGGGTACAAAGTTATCAAAAACGCCATGGAGTACCTATTGGTCTGGACAGTATATAGGGCCTTGGTCTGGACTAAAAGCTGCATGTGTACCTATCGTAATAGGGATCGATCATAGGGACATCAAGGAAGCAGTCACCTTGATTAACACATTAATTTTATCAAGCTAGACAAGTATCTGCCAGCTGCGAATGAGGTTAATAATTTAGCTGTAACCTTCATCATTGTCATGCAATTAAAATGAAACATGGGATATTACAAGTAAAACTCACAAGCCGGCCACAAAATGAATGAATATACGTCGCAAGGTATACACAATACAGTCAATACACATGCCGCTACCTACCACAGCACAAATAAGTGCGCAATGATTGTCTTTTTGTTAGAGATGTTCAAGTTGTGCACAGCTTCTGTGGAGTCGCGATTCAGTTCTCCTAAGGATGGAATTTTAAATGGTTTTTGATCGGGAGACGACTTGGAATCTTTCGACATTTGCATCGTAACTTATGCTCAAATAATGATTGTTTGGGGTTTAAAAAAAGGAGAAAAATACAAACTTTCAAAAAATGACCAACTTTTTTCAAATGAAACGCCGTAACTGTTAATATTGGAAATTTTCTGAACTGGAAACTCGATGATAAAACTTGAAGTGCAGACCCTGTACTCCTTTGCCAATTGTATGCTCCACACAGCTCCGTTTCTCATGGCCCGGCTATGACAGATACAAAATTGAGCCTGCTTTCTGATGGTACGCAGTTTTTGGCCAGAGGACCTATGGTTATTGTGAAATTGGTGTTCAAAGGCTGTACTCCGACCTCTGTCTCCGGGTCCTCACTGTCGCCGCAGCGTAGTCGCGACTCCGTGGTGTGTGCTGTGCCAACTCTACGGGCCGCTTTATTTCGCCGCGCCGATATTTGTGCCGCGGCGTTTTCCAAATTTTCGAAGCTGGCTGTATATTTTCGTTTGTTTTCCATTGTTGCCTGTTTTCCATGCTATGAGTATAGTTGTAAAAACAACCTAACAGGTTTTGTCTTTTATAATTGTAATCAAGCATACGGGCCGTGGGCATTGGCATTAGCCGTGCGGTAAGTGAACGTTCCACTTTGGTTTTGGTCTGGTTCCTTTCATGATAGTAAATAGGTACCATTAACTGAGTATGATGATTAATTGATAATTTGACTCATGACTGTTACCTGGAGTGGAGTCAATATCACTATCATTAACCTCCCAATTGTCTTTGCTGATCTAGGTAGGTACTATCATTTCTCTGACCCTGAATATTCATTCTTATTTTAAATCATAAGCACGATCCAACAAAGTGAAGTCCTATACATAAGTTGAAGTCTAACAAATTCAGATAATCTTGCTTTCAGTTATAGCTTGCATTACATTATATTGCATGACTAAGTAGTGCTTCCTGGTGCATACGAGAGCACCAATTTTTGGATCCACTCGTCCCTACTTCTAGCTGCTAACCTAATCCTTGCTATGACCACTAACCACTCAATTACACAATCACATAATGCTTGCCACTCTCAACAAAAAAGTTCTAGTCGATCGTCTTGCTGCGTCACTCGATAAACATTGTTTTCCACACTGTATTGTTTATTCACATGCTTACAATTCTACATACATAGGTACAAAGAAAAACACTGCACAAAAAACACTATGCAGACGCAGTTGACCACCCCAACGCTGTACAGTTGTACTCCACTGGCCCAAAATTTTTGTACTCCACTACCAGAACAAAAAAGTGAAATTCCAACCCTGCCCGAAATTGAGCGACACCTGGCTCTACATTTTTCAGAACACATGCAGAAATTAAGATGCGTGAACAGGTGTCCCCAGAAAGGCGACGCTTTGCACTGCCATTCTTCAGATGCTCACGAGAAACTGCAGGAGGGAGGGTGTGCAAACACCCATCGGTCCGGTGCCCGGCTAATTCTTCCGGTTAATTCAACTTCAACGGCCCCGTTAATTCTTATGAATTGTACTAACCATTCCACAAAAATAATGAACTGATCTGAACCAAAAGTAAAACAACTAAAAGTAAAACCATGCACAGTTGAGGAGAGCTATAGCATGTGTTGTTTGTTTATTGCAGCTTTAGGGCACGAAGACTACAGGGTCATTTTGTGCCCATAGAGCTGTATCATGAGAATAAAACTGACAAAACCATGACCACGTCAACGAACCCACCTGAATCAGAGGAGACCGCTGCCTCGGTGCCTTCCACCGGAGACGACTGGCAGCACCTACACAGCATATTGTCAGGCCCACCTGGAACAGGCATCCATGATTTCAACTAAAATACCATCATGAGTCAAAAATTCTGATAATTCTTATTGTAATTCCATGGAATTTTTCTTAACCATTCCATGAAATTTTAAGTCAACCATTGATTCTATATAGGTAAGTAAACAAATTAAAAAGACAAATTTTGTAGATACCACTTATCCAGGGCTGTGCAGGATCAGAATTTTGGGGACTCTGAATCTAGTTTCAAAAATCAACTGAATTCAACTTAGATCTCTGGTTAGAGCTGTCAACTCTAACTAAGTCGAGATGCGCATGCCTGCATGAATGAAATAAATGTGAAAAAACTCTGAGTAAGTCAGTTTCCACAGCCCAGGCACAGCTGCAGTCCATGGATTTTCAGCAACTTTGACTTTAACCACCAAAATAGACTCTGACTCTGGTTGGAACCGCTGACTCTGAGCGACTCCAGCTCCCTAGCCCTGCACTTATTCACAAAAGTTGCAGTTTGCATTTATAATAAAAAATAACAGGCAAGACTGTGGCTTGTGAGCATGGAGACGAGGTGGGCAAAATATCTTTTTATAATATATTATCACCTATTTAGATGGATAATCTAATCATCATACATCATTATCAATATAATCTAATCATCATACATCATTATCAATATAATCTATCATCAATATATCATTATAATTTATATCTTTATCATATTTATATCATTACATTAACTTAAGATTAGTATCATTATAATCTATTATTTAGCAATTTTAGATTAATAATGTGTCAATGTGATGATGTAAATTGTAAGCCCACCGCCACCAACACTCAGTGCTTGCCTAAATACAGACCAGATGGACAACTGAAAACAAATAACTATTAACAAGCTGCATGTTGAAACATATGTTGACAGTATGGAACTTAATTTACAACTTAATATCAAGTGAATGTGAAATGAAACGGTAAAATTTTTACGATATTCGCCCATGCTAACATCGCGGTGCAATGATGCTCAAATCGGCGCACTTATCGCAACGGGTTTTAATTAATAAATACAATTCTGTCTCGAACCAAACATACCAAAACAGACATTGTCATCGAAGCGGAAGCAATGAAGACACACACACATTCAAAAAATCCCAAATTAAACGAATACATACCTGACAAAACCGTATCCATGGCACAGCGCCCCAGCCTCAAGCTCCCATTATTTTGTGAACTGGCCAGAGGAGCCTCTACCAAGGCTATTCAAATGCAAGTGAGGTATTTATTCAATTCACTATCAGAGCGCGACGAGATCACACTAAAACATTAGTTAACAAATGCACTTATACCCAAAGTATCACAATCAAGATGGAGCGGCACCACCTCCACACTCGCAAATGCGTCAAAACAAAACACGCTAAAATAACAAACTGCCAAATACCCTGTTGGCAACAACATGCCAACTAAATTATTTGAATGCATTCAACAACTCTCTTGTCCATCAGATTGTATAAGCCTGCCAAGTAATTCTGCTGCCACCAGATGTTCTAGCTTTCACAAGTAACTATGGAATCATTTCATTGTCCACACAGATTGATCGCTAAACTAAGAACCCACCAACACGATCTGGCACCGGCCCGTCCGGCATCGCCCCGCGAGCGACGGCCGCCTGCGTCGCACCGCCCCGCCCCCTGCTCGATTGGACACCTCCACCGTGGGCAGGGGCGTGCCCAGGAAACTATTTTGGCTAGCACGGGCGGAACGGGTCCCGAGATAGCAGCAGCCTACAAGGAACGCAATCATTAGATATGCCACCTTTGCCTGAGTGCTGACTGCTGCATGTAGTTGGAGGGTCCGTGTCCGTAGAATCTCCCGTTCTAGCAATCTCCATATCCATTCCATTGCAAGGTGTGCGGACTGCGGATGCTTCTTGCAAAGGTTTCAGAAAGGCAGTCGGGTTTGCACCGGTAGCCGTCTGTTGTCTTCAAAAAGGTCCCGAGCCGAGCCCGTAGTACCCCGCAGGGTGCAGAAATGTCAGGCGTGGTTGTGAAGCTACGTTCAAGTCGTTGGATGCATAAAACACATTTCGGACGCCAAAATATTATTCTGTGATAGGAGGTCGATTGTCAAATGAAAATGTAAAGGGTCAGCTCGGGCATTCCAACAAAGGTGCTACTTTGCTGACATCTGGTGGGGTCTGGCGTGCCACCTAGCGACATTATTTATATGAAATACTTATTTCGTCTCGTGGATAGTGCTGCCATCTGCCCCAAATCACCTTCATAGCTATTAGCTTGATGCATTCGAGTGAAACACCTCTTTCTGATTGTTTCTGATTTCTGAAACGGCTTTACACGGCTTGAGCTTTTGGAGCATAGGATCTCCGTCTTCTATGAATTAGAAGGCTTTGAGCTCTGGGAGCTCATGTAATGTGAGTGTATGCACATTGTACAGAAGCGCATGTCCGTAGGCGGCCTCTGATGGTCCCCGGTGGTACATGGTACCGGTTTCTGAGGATCCAAGGCCTCTGAGGCGCTGCTAACCTCCGTAGCCCCACGCCATTTTCAGAGGGTAACACAGGACTCTGGCCTCACTGGGTCTAAAACGATCTAGCTGGGCCTCGTGCTGCCCTTTATAGGCATTACGGTAAACTCCCTGAGACTTTCACCGTAATTGCGTGGTAACTTATTACTGCAGGCCTGGCGTTTTCCAATAACTTATAAGTGATAGAAGAGCTAAAAACAAATCAAGTGTTTGCCCCCGCGTGTGTGCGTGGGCATTTTTGTCTTCAATTTCACCAATTGATTTATGTTTATTTATAAATTATTTATTTTTTAGGACGTTGTGTGTCGATAGTTAGACGTATACAGATTTCAAACGACATGTTTGTTTCCCATATATTTAGCACTTATCTACAAAAATACAGTCATAAAATGGCCAAATCCGGGGCACCCCTTCCCCAAGCCCACATTCGACAATAGGTCATAAAGGAATAAATAATCAAAAGCTATATACTCTGTGACACAAACTTTAAACTCACACACACTTTCACCAAAAAGATCAGCATTCAGCAAGCAAACATGCTCTTCTCGATTCATTGGCCAGTTCGAATTCGGTGTGGATTTTCACGTCAGTTGTGTATATCCACATTATAGCTCAACATATTCATACATGACAAGCTCCAAATGACATACTTCGTTATTCACTTCATTTGAAACGTTGAGCCATCGCACAGAGAAAATTTGTCTCATGCTTGGGATTAGAGTTGCAAAGTTTCCCTACCACATTACCGGCATGCCGGTAATTTTTCACTACCGCAGGTTTTTTGTGGTATCTGGCATGTCTTGCCGGTAGCATGCCGGTATTTTTGGTTTTGCACAAAAAAAAAATTATTAGCATATGATTCAAACTTTGGACACTAAGAGGAAAATGTGGCATCTCTTGTAGGGGTAAACTGGAATCAACAATGCAGGTTTTTTAGTATGCCGGTAATTTGGTGGTGTTTTTGCTTTGGGCGTGGTAGCATGCCGGTATCCCAAAAAAAAAATTGTGGGGCGGGGCGGTGCCGGTAGCAGCCTTTGGGGGAAACTTTGCAACTCTACTTGGGATATTTCTTCATATATCGCTATCTCTATTCTCTGTGGAATATCAGTTGGAGCTCTGGGTGCTAGTAGATGAACAATCGTGAAAGACTCGATTATTCAAATCACAAATGCAGATTTCTATAAGGCAGCAAGTGTCTAAAAAAGCGGTAAAACGACCACATAAGGTATCCAGTCTCCGGGGGAATACACTCATTTAAACGGGCACACACACACACACACTCATTTAAATGCCTACGGCGAGAAAACGAGCAAATTATGCTGTACGTAGTGATGTGATAGCTCAAAATATTTCCATTATTATGAATTTCGTACAGAGAACATCATTGGAAACAGCAATGTATGCAGACTTACACAAAAAGGTAGCCACTTTCACAGTAATACAAGACGTTCTGTCATTCCTCGCGTTCTCTTTTCATCGACAAAATAATTTACCATTTACAGTGCAACCCGAAACCACGCACAGAGAACGTTGTGGAAGACAGACATTTGAACCATAGACTTTGCACTGGTATCATTACAGGGAGTTTTCTGCTACTCAGACAAAACACAACAAGTTTTCATACAATCGAATTGGTAATTCGGCAAGCCTTACGATTCAATTCAGTCAAACTACGTCGGTTCAGGGAGACGGACAACAATGGCGAACATCCTGGAAGACGTCGTAGGAAATCGGTGAGGAGCCACGTCGTATGTGTTTTTAAATTTCAGTTTTATCGTAATTGAAATTCCAATAAATCATGGTCCAAAAAAATGTCATGGTCCAATCAGCGAAAGTGTTCGGATAGACACGTTTATAAAAGAGAGCAATCGAAGGTTAGTGGTGCATCAAAATGAATAACACTGGTAAAATTGTCTGATGAATTGATATGAATAACCCGTCCCCTTTTTTGTCAGCTACGATGAAAAAGTGAGGCGAAATATGAAGAAGGTATCTAAGCCTATCATTATATAATTTCTCACTGATCACGTTGTTTCTGTGATCATCGTGGGACAGCTACCGCCATTGATCGGCTTAAAGCCACTTTACCATTGCACATTGGGACAAATCGTGGCACTGCATACAATCTCTCAGCTCCTATAGACGCATCTGTCATCAGCAATTGGCTTCCAACGCATACATAGGTAGCTCATAGGTGAGCGTTTGATGTGATAGGCGAAAGGTAAATTTTTAGTTGACATTGGTTAGACAAATGCTGAAGTTTGATTTAAAGTGATGCATCATAATGGAGACATAGCCGGTAAAAGCAACAAATTCGCAGAGATGAATACGTTTAGAATGGGTGTAAGTTCACAAAATATTGCGCATAGAAAGCCAGCAGTAAGAAAATTCCTCCTGCACGTCACTGACAAGAACCAAATTGCACTATTTCCTCCGCATTCAGTCAAACTGAAACCCCACATATTCTGTCACATTTCACTCGGTCACATATGGTCACCTTCACCACACAGCGGTCACCCCTCACCCCTAGGTCAATCGGTCACCCCTAGGAGGTCACTCGGTCACCCTTATGAGGTCACCCGGTAACCCAGTACCCCACAACCCCGGAACACTTTCATCGAGCGCATCACCAGTAATTGAGCCGAATTTCTGTCCATGTCTTGAAGCCCTTGAAGATCTAAAGTCAGTTCTTCAAGACTTCAGAGCTCGTCAGCTCTAGTTCATCGGCACATATCAAGGCATTCATGTTGTCGACAAACGAAAACGCACATATTTAAAACTATTTACATCCACAACCCTCCCTTTGAGTTTCTTTCGAAGCATCATTATCCACTGCACTTCGCATTATTCCTTCATCTCGAATGTCACATGTAGTTCTTAGGTGGCACGTGTCATCCTCATCAGCTGCTAACCACGAGGGGCACGCTTGCCTGTCGATGCTTTCCAACAGACTTCCCCCACGTGGCTGACATCTCACATAATTATATCTACTCCACAGCTTTCTGGGACGAAGAGACTTGGCTTCACCGTGGGGCTCTCCTGCGAAGGACTGTGGTCACCAGTGGTGACGACAATTTCTCCTATTGACCGTCTTCTCCGCTCCGGCCGTGGGCAAGGCCGGGACCGGGGCCAGAGGCGGGCCGGGGGCCGGGGCCAGGACGGTTTCTATAACTGCTGGTCTCGCCGGCGGCCCGTCTGAGAAGAGGAGGCTCCTCCAAGACGGAAGTTGCGCATCACCTCCTCCACTTGTTGCTCTGAAGTAGGCGCGAACTGGTCCAAGAATCTGAGGAAGAACAGAAACAACAATGTTAGCGGTGAGGACGGACTGGTGTAGCTCGTTCTCTTTGACTCATAGCGGAATAAGACATCACCTCCACATGAATAGGTACCCGTATGCATAGTATGCCCTCATCAATGACATAACCACAACATACAAGCCATATCTGTCAGTTTGCTAGATGAACGGGAATGCTGAGTGCCCGCAGGTCGATCTTGCAGAGTGATGAGTCACCGCGGAGTTCCAGAGATGATCTCAGCGTATGACGATCAGTCTGGGCAGCCGAGAGTTCTCAGAAACTCTGGAGGTCACTCACGTGACAACACCCGCAGAGGTGGATTTTCCGAACAGTGGAGGACACTAACCAGGGTCTACCAGAAGTAGAATGTTGGACATGATTAGGAAAAGACCGCGTGTGTACTGTGTAGTGAAGAAACTAACTACGCACGCAACTTACAGTGGCGGATCCTGGGGGGGGTCCACGGGGTCATGACCCCCCCCAAAAGGTCTGAGAGGGTCATTTGACCCCCCCCAAAAGCCGAAGACCTAAATGCGCTATAGACGCCGTCTTGCATGCTCAAAATCACATGTCAAACACTTCTGAGCTAATACCTTTGTTTTTCTGGATCGTGTTGCGTGAAAAGGCGTATTGAAGGCCAGAATCTTACTCATTTTTGTCTCAACCGTGCGAGCACCAGGGGATGATCCAGGAAAACTCCAAGGGGATGGTCATGAATTTAATTCGTGGTGCCCCTACCTATACGCAAAATTAAAAACTCAACGGATTTCGGCCACTTAATTTTGGTGATGTCCTATTTCCATTTTTTTATTTTGTTTGTTTTATTTTTAGTGCCCCTGGGCCCTGGCAGGTCAAAATCACGTCGGAGGCGAAAGAAATTCACGGGAATCCCAAAAATCACGTCAGGACATTCAGGGCACTCTGACCAGCCTGACAGCTAGGGCCCTTCTTACTTCCTGGGGCCTCCAGTGAATAACCGCTAGTGTCTGTGTCGGCCCCTCTGACTCCTCAGTAGGTAGGAGGCCCTCTGTAGAGGAGACCCTCTGTGGAAAGGAGACCGCCTGAATGCAGAAGGCCCTCTGAAGAGAGGAGACCCGCTGTAGAGAGAAGGCCCTCTGAAGAAAGGAGGCTCTCTGTAGAGAAGAGGCCCTCTGAAGAGAGGAAGCCCTTTGCAGAGATGAGGTCCTCTGGCTCTTTGAAGAGAGGAGGTCCTCTGTAAAGGAGGCCCTCTGAAAGGGAGAGACCCTCAGTAGAGAGGAAGCCCTCTGTAGAGAGGAAGCCTTCTGTAGTTAAGAGGCCCTGTGAAAAGAGGAGGCCCGCAGTAGAGATCGGTGGTCCTCTGTAGAGAGGAGACCCCCTCTGTGTTTTGACAAATGTTTTTGCAAATTTTTCGCGGCGCTTCGCGCCGCCGATTCATGTACATACGTACAGGTCAATATGAAATCGTGACTGTAATTACATAAACCAACCGTGTCAAATTGAATCAGAATTCATATGTGTACTGTGAAGAAACTCCGGCTTGTACTGCCATGCTAAAAGGGTGGTAAAATTTGTGTTTTGGAGCGGAGCTGTGTTTTGACACATTCTTTTGCAAATGTTCTCGGCGCTTCGCGCCGCCGATTTATACACCAATCAATAAGAGAGATCGTGACTGTAATAACACCAACCGTGTCAAATTGAATCGGAATTCATATGTGCACTGTGAAGGAACTCCGGCTTGTACTAGCATGCTAAAAGGGTTGTAATATTTGTGTTTTAGAGCTGTGTTTTGACAACTTTTTTCAAATTTTTGCGGCGCTTCGCGCCGCCGATTCATACACAGGTCAATAAGAGAGATCGTGACTGTATGCTACTAATGCATTGGGCATTAGACTAATGCATAAGTGAGGTAACTATATCTACTACTTCTGGGTTTTTAAGTCGGTCGATCCGCCCCCCCCCCCCAGTAAAAAAATCCGTGGCGACGCTCCTCTATAGGTGGGTTTCACTAACTAAAACTACTGAGCCGAGTGACTTACGATAAAACTTCAACTCAGAAACGACGAAGATTAAATGTCATTTGATCTCGACATACTCGCTCCCTACCCCCCCCCCCCCCCGGTCGTCAGAATTCATTCATCAGACCTGGCATGTCGGCCGACTGGTGACCCCCCCCAAAACGTTCCCCTAGATCCGCCCTTGGCAACTTACGACATCGGGCCACAACACTCAACCGTGTCAATCAGGGAACGTATAACTACTCAGGTAAATAGACGTTCACTCTAAAGCGTTAGAGGCTAGACCTTCTCCAAGAGTATCCAATTGCTAAATCTTTAGCAATGACGCATTCGATAGCCGTTGCCCGTTAGCATCCGGAATACCAACCGCAAGGCTTTTTACCCTCACAATAAACTTCCGAAGCTCGCGTGAATAGTTTCACGTCCGCAATTGATATTCACAATGCATTCCGACAACTTGAAACAGCAGACAGGCAGACAGCAGGCGGTGTTTTTAATGAGACTCAGCTCTCTGAAAGTCCCAGCATGCGTAGAGAGATATAGCAATGTTTAGCCCGTCGAGGTCGGAGATTATGTTTAATGTTGAGATGCTGCTACGGATGAAAGACATAACTTGAGTTTTAAGATATTGATCGTCTGCGTTTTTAGGTTACGCCAGCAGTAATGATTGTGAATAGATGCCTGTATGAAAGGCATGTCACAACTGAACAATCTTGTTTGACTGTTGTCTATGAATGTATCGTCCAAGCTGTGGAACAGCTTTTGGGAATGTCATGCCACATTATAGCATGACCCCGCGAGCCCATCCCTTGATCCGCCACTGCGGAACGAAGCATCAATGGGGTATATAGAGAGCATCAAAGGAGCATCAATGTGGTGTATAGAGAGCATCAAATCAGCATCAATGGGGTATATATAGAGCATCAAAGGAGCATAGATCGGGTTTAGACGGAGCATCTGGAGCTATGCTAGGGGGCATCAAAGGGGCATAGAGGAGAATCAGGGGGGAATACACTAGGCATTTCGTAAGAATAATGGAGGCATAACCAGATAATCATTTTGATTCCACTTAGCCATCCAACAGGCATATTAGGGTAATAATGTTGGGATATTGGGGGTATCTAATGCCAAAAAGGTGCTACTTGAAGTATATTACGGGAATAATTGGGGTTTCGTTTTAGACCATTCTCCTAATATCACCCCCCCGGAATCATTTTAGTTTTCAGTGCAATTGATGGTAATAAGCACGCTTTGTAGGCTTCTGATGGGCGTAAGCTTTATAAAAACTTAGCACTTTCGATTTATTTCGATTTATTTATTTTTGAACGGATATCTTTTCACGTCACCATTTCTCCATTCGTCTTCCCGTCCTTCTGTTTCGTTTTTGCACACACTTATTATTCCTTGTCATCCTCAACCCCCTCTCTCTCTCTCTCCTCTCTTTTAAATCTTTCCCCTTCCCTACCTCTTTTTTCTTTCTCCCTCTTTTTAGAAACATATGTCATTCTTATACTCACGAGAATGGTTTGTCGCCGCCTTTGATCTCGCATATGACGTTTGTGAGTGCCATGATGTAATTTCTGGCCAGCGTCAGAGTCTCGATTTTCGACATTTTTCGTTCCATCCTCACCGACGGAATCACCTCTTGAAGATTCTGAAAATAAAAGAGAAAAAGGTTCAAAAATAGTGTACTAAATATATGAACGTATATTGTGTTGGCACCCTTCCTTGCTCTCTAAACTTAAAAATACTTTCTATTTTTATTAACAACCACTTAGGAATTGCAAAAAGCTATGAACGCAGTTAGGATAGCTACACTCTAAGAAGTTAAACATAAAAAACGAGGGCAGCAAAACGTTTAGCAATGTGTGAATTGACCAGGAAATAATCTAATTTCGTAACAAAGTCGACCTCCGACAAGCGGGAACATTCTGCAAGTGGGCATGCAGTCGCCTTTATTCTCTCACGGCAGTTAGGTTTATTATGGCAATCATGCCATCAACCATCATCAACACTGTAATTATGGCAACATGAGTGATAACTTTAATATAATTGTGAGCGCATTGCTAGATGACAGGACGGATAAGTGAGGAAGCAGTGCTGCATTAGCGAACACTCAACCACAGCCATTACGTCATTTACATATCCTAATATGTGATGATGGCTGTACTAAAGATGTGCTTGCTTTATGAAGTTATTTTCAAAAGCTACCTGGGTTATCTAATACTTCTGCGGATAACCTCAAGCGTAACGTTTGCAAAGCAGGTTGAAAACTGTTTAAAGTTAACCAGCGTTTCATAATATAACATTACACTACATAAGCATATGCCTACACCGTGAATAAGTGGCCGCTGATCTGCGTC